CAGCATGCCCTCTCAGACCAGGAGCGGAAACAAAAGGAGCATCAAGTTTTCAACTCTGCAATGGAATTAATTCGTGACAAGCATTGGAACAAACTTCAATTTGCTGGCCATCAGGTGTCTGTTCAGTGTGAGCCCAGTGGAGCCCCACCAGCTCCATATGGGGCAGACTATGAGGAGATGAAATCAAAACTTTCAGGCTCTGCTAGACGACTCAAAGAGTCCGAGGATGTTTACTCTGACTATATGTTCACAATGTCACACATGGACAGACAATGGATTGGGACAATAATCTTCAGCAAATTCACAGCTGGGACTCATGAAATAAAAGACTTTCTCCGGTGACATAGATGCAGGGGATACTAGAAGGGCACCATCCCCGCTATTGACGCTTACAACCATTAGCGAGATATCAATATTACACGAAAGTTGTCAGTTAGTGCTAATATATGTATTTAAACAAAAAACGGGATGTACAAAAAAACTAAAAGAAATTCCTGGCATGAAAGGGAAGGGAAAGAAGGAAGAAAAAGAGGAGGGATTGAAGCTTAATACGGTGCACCAATACATCCACTGCATTGGACGACTTTTGTGACTTCCTGATAATGGAAGTTGGGGGGTCCTCCTCTTGGGATTATACATGATAACATCGTACGACTGAAGAAGCAAGTGCGCATGGTACAAAAAGGGGCTGATGAAAGCCATCAGGTCACATCAGCAATGAGACATGGCAATATGCAAGGTAAATGAAATAAAAACAATAAAGAGGAAGGAGGGATCTCCTAAATGAACTTCTATTGTAGAAGAACTCACATTATTCTGGAGATATTTCTCCAGAATGCGAACAGATCATGCATCATTCGGACCATGATGGTTGGGGATGTAAGCGAAATAACAGTCCTTGGATGTTCCCAAATGATCAAGGTGCATATAACACTCCTTTAAACATCAGGTTTTATTTTGTTTTCTTCAATAGAAACAATGAAGACGGAGGGATCTCCTAAATGGTTCGCTCTAGTAGAAGTTAGGAACCATATAATTGTGGAGATATTTCTCAAGAATGCGAATAGATCCGGAATCATTCGGACCATGACGGTTGGGGATGTAAGCAAAATAACAGTCCTTGGATGTTCCCAAATGATCAAGGTGCATACAACACTTATTTTGAAACATCATTGCCTGCTCAGAGAAAGATTACGTCTGTCAAAGTCTATTATCTGCAGGGAGAATTATTTTGGAACACTCTCCCAGTAGCAATCGCTACGCTCCATTACAGATGTCGACGTCTTCAAAAAAAGCCCCTAAAACTTATCTTTTGGATAAGTGTAATTACCATTGATCATGAAATTGCACTTTGTAAGGCACATTGCGAGGGCCGACAGTCCAGAAATGCACTTATAGAAGAACTTATTATTATTATTACTATGATTAATATAATTATTATTTGTATCACAATCATTTTTATCATTACCTCTCAATTACCATCTCACATCGTTTATGTTTGTTGCAGGTAAAAAAACACAAGACTTTAACTAGTCATGGTGCTGCACATGTTGTCCTAGATAGTGCAACAATGGGGATTCTACAGCATTACTACAGTTTCAGAAAGTTTACCCCATTCTATGTGCGGAGCCTAGACGTCAATGAAGAGCCGTTCTTCTTGAGCGCCCATGGGAAGTGCATATCAAACCCTGGGCAGCTCATAGACAGGCTGTGGACAACCAATGGGTTCACCGGCTCCTTCCAGCCCACAATGCTCTGTAAGACAGTGATGTCAAAAGTGAATAAAGTCTTTATTCTTTTTCTTCATAATGTGAGGCATTTGAATGATTTCAGTTGGCTATTTAAATGCAAAATTATGATTGAGAAGAAGCTGAAACAATTAGTCACTTTGTTTCTTACATCTCATTGCAACTTTGTTGCTGCAATTCTATTGATGAACTAATGAGTTCACATTAATTGAAGTTATTGTTTCTCAATACAGGTGATAGACAAAACGATAGTCCTGGACATAATGCTCAGTACTTGACATACATTTTCCTCGAGCATGATACCCAGAACGTGGTACATGCCATCTTCAAAGACAAGCGCCAATGCGACATGGTGAGCATACTTATGGAGCCGTAGGCATTCAAGGAGGGCCTTGAGGAAGTCAAGCAACTGGGCACTGAAGTGAAGGAGGTGGTGACGGACGACCACTCCCCCATTGCCCAGTTCATGAATAAGATTTTGTTCGTCTTGTTGTTTTGTATAGTTCATATCTCTCTGTTGAATTTGAATCTCGATTGATTATGAATGTAAAGACAAACTTGTATAGTGGGGAAAAAATGCCTTAATATCATTAATTTGCACTTGCATTCGATTTGAATGTGGCCATCATGTTTATGAAGAATGTCATGTCCAAGACAAAAATCTTGGTGAAGCTTCATCTATTGATGAACTAATGAGTTCACATTAATTGAAGTTATTGTTTCTCAATACAGGTGATAGACAAAACGATAGTCCTGGACATAATGCTCAGTACTTGACATACATTTTCCTCGAGCATGATACCCAGAACGTGGTACATGCCATCTTCAAAGACAAGCGCCAATGCGACATGGTGAGCATACTTATGGAGCCGTAGGCATTCAAGGAGGGCCTTGAGGAAGTCAAGCAACTGGGCACTGAAGTGAAGGAGGTGGTGACGGACGACCACTCCCCCATTGCCCAGTTCATGAATAAGATTTTTTTCGTCTTGTTGTTTTGTATAGTTCATATCTCTCTGTTGAATTTGAATCTCGATTGATTATGAATGTAAAGACAAACTTGTATAGTGGGGAAAAAATGCCTTAATATCATTAATTTGCACTTGCATTCGATTTGAATGTGGCCATCATGTTTATGAAGAATGTCATGTCCAAGACAAAAATCTTGGTGAAGCTTCTCCAGAGGGATGATCTGAATATCATGGATGCCCTCAAGGCTTCAAGAGCAACAATTCAACTGCTGAGCAACATTCAATCCAATGATGGAGGGGATTAATGCAGAAATAGATGCTGCATGAATGTTTGCCAAGAAGTATGACATCAATCCCCAAAAGAGTTCAGAAAGCACCAAGCTATGTAGAGTACCTGCTAAAATGCTAGGCTAGAAGACAATCCTGGAACACAAGTCCAATGGTCAATCCACCAGTACTATAGGAAGGAGTGCAAGAGTATACTTGACAAGCTCATAAATCTCTTCAACGATTAGATGGCTCCTACACTAAAGAGGGTAGAACGTATGGTATGCTTGCTTCAACCACTAATTCCAGGAGTACCAAGATCAAATCTTGTACAGGCTTTATGCCGAACATTTCCAACTGAGTTAAATCCTGGAGCAGTGCAGACAGAGTTGGAGATATTTCATAAGCTCTTAGTAGAGTATGATAAGGAACTGAAGAACCTTGATAATGCTGCTACACTCTATTCCCATAAACTAACTGGAAGTGGGGTGCAAACTTGAAGATGTGGCTCAAACCTTGCCATCTGTTTCAGCCAAAACCAAATCAGACATCGTGACAACATTGCTTAAGATAGGAGTAGGTACACCAGCTGACCTTCAGTACGTCAATGAAGAGGACTTCAACTCTGAAAAGCTGAAGCTCGTTCAAGTGAAGAAGCTGATGAAGGAATGGAACAAAGGTACCTTCAACATGTCTTTACTAGATGTAATTGGTTTATTCCAGTATACTTTTTGCCATGTCTGGGCATGCAATGGAAGAGAATACCAAAGCATGTCTTAATTAAAACTTTTTCTTCTTATTGACACAAGCACAGAAAGAAATTACTTCGAGAAACTCTACGAATTTGCTTTCTTATAAAAATAAGCAAAAATAATTTTAAAAAACAGCAATTACCCGAGTATATTCCGACTGACGCTTACATGGTCTATGATATTTAAATTAAAGTTGTTGAAGAGATGCCATAGAGAAAACGGCCATCCCCATCCCTCGGATGAATTTTTTTCTAGTTTTAAGCATAAAATATTTAATGTAAATATTTAAAGGTTTCTAGTAGTTCTAAAGCAAAAATGAGATCCTATACAGATGCTTTTTTGCCAATATTAAATGTGCATAGTTTTAAAATCTGTATTTTCATATCAATTCGGCAAACGTACATATACAATTGAATTACTTCAGAAACCTTTAAGCAATTGAAATACAAATTGTAGCAGCTGACATTAAAAAGGTCTAATTTGAGCGAATATCAACTAATGTCCAGAACAAACCTTAACGAATAACGCATATACCTTTCAGAGTATATATGGGGGGGGGGGGGGGGGGTAATACATTCGCCGCCAATTCCCATTTGCTTTAAATGAGCTGAAACTCACATGAAATGTAGATTATTATATACCTCATCGAATACGAGGTGCACAAATTGTTAGCAGCCGACAATTAAATTTTAAAAAATTTGAGCGAATATCAACCAATGTCCAGAACAATCCTTAACGAATTGCGCATTTAACGTGTTAAGTATATAAAAAGGGGGGGGGGGGGGTTAATACAATCGCCGCCAATTCCCATTTGCTTTAAATGAGCTGAAACTCACATGAATGTAGATTATTATATACCTCATCGAATACGGGAATATAGAGATGATGTCATAATCAAGAAACTGGAATGTGTGAACCATGTTCAGAAGAGGCTTTTCACAAATTTGAAAAATTTGAGACAAAAAAACTATTCCATCAAAGGGAAACATTGTTTGAGTGAAGCCTACATAAAAACCCTCAGTAGATACTACAGGAATACTGTGTATCGGCATCAGGTAAAGATCGAAAGTGTTACAACTGAAAATGTTACAAGCCTCCAGAGGGGTCTCCTGGCAGGGCTTCACCACAATGCCAACAACGACGACTCTGAGATCCAGCATCAGTATTGCCCAGATGATCAGTGGTGTAAATGGAAGAATGACAATAAGAATGGCACAAATACATACCAGGACACCAACAAGTTGCCAGCAGACTACATGTATCTGCCACACATGCTTCCAATATATACTCGACTCTCGATCCTAAGCTACTGGAAGATTCTTGTTCTAGATCAAATATTTGTTTAATTCTTTGAATAGCCTACGGCAAACACTGAATAACAATATTTGTATATCATTATAAAATTTAGGGTGGGTGCAACGATTCATATTATTCTCTGCACTATTGTTATTTGTCTGCTTAAAGTCATCTATTAACAGTAGCCAACAAGTAACTGAAGTACTGGACCAAACACGTGGTGAACCATTCTTGGTTCTGTGCACAATCGTGTGGTGGTGATGTGAATCTATTCTTGGGTGCATGCAACATCCGCGCTGAAATAGCTCTATGAATATCATACAAACACATACACACATGTACACACATATTTACTCTCGTAATACTCACACACAGCGCTAGAACCTAGAGATGGCGCGATGATCATATTTATGCAAAACTTGATCCACGCAAAACTTTGCGTGACTCATCTCGTGTCGCAATATCTAGGTTGGCTATTCCCAGGCTCAACTTTTTGGGTATTATCGAAAATGCAAAAATAAATTTTACAAATTCAGACTGACAGACAACTTAGTAATAGTAGAGGTAGAAGTGGAAATAGTAGTAATAGTGGTAGTGGTGATGTAGTATGTATGTATTAGTTATTACTGTCCATGCATTATCTGTCTCTTAGATAGGACATAAAATGGAGGTCCCTGGTATTGAAGAGTATCACCCTATTCAATAAATCAACAAGCAATTATTTAGATGTTAGTTGGATTTAATAGTCAAGGTGGACACTCATTAGCATTTTTGTTAATGTTGATTTAATATGGAGTTTTACCACCTCTGTGTCTTTATGGTATAAGCTCTAAATATGTATTTTTGATAATGTATTGTAAACTTGCCTTTTATGGAGTAAATTTGTTCCCCTTATATACAGGCATCTCAAACTACAATAACGATGCATGACCTGAGGCACCTGGAGGATCTTGTGGATGAGTGGACTGCAATTATAAAGAAATCATTTGTGTGTCTGTGTGATCCATTGGCAATGATTGGCCAACAATACTCACCATGGATAATCTGAGGCAGCTGGAGGAGCGCATGGATGAGTGGGCCGTAATTTTAATCAACATCAACCAGTTTTACTGAGCTCAACAAAACCAGGAAACAACAGGAAAAAAAGAATATGTGCCAAAAGAGAAAGAGAGTGGGAAAATTTCCAAAGCAGACGAAAGTCAACTTACAATTTCCACGCCTGGGAATAATTTGTACTTGCTATCGTCCATTCTACGGATGGCGTAAGCAGCAACATAAAGGCGAATGAGTATAAACAAATCATGCACTTTTTACAAAGTGGTTGGTAAGGAGCCTTTAACAGATTTGTGAATGTTGTTAACATATTCATGATCATTCCCCTGAAAGTGGCGAATTCTACGAGGAGCAGCGTGTCTATCTCGAAAGTAATGGGGTGCTTATCGATCCTTTCTTCACCTCGCCACATATTCAATTGCGACGAGACAGGATAGCCTCTCATTGGGAAAGTGTGTCGCATCATCGCAACGAAGGGGAGTCGCACTGTTAGTGCAGTAGGCTCAAGCAACAAGTCGCAAGTAACTGTGTTAGCGATGATAGCTGCATCTGGTGACGTTCTTCCACCTACTATTGTTCTTGCCGGCCAGAAATTTAAGGAGAACCCACTGGAAGGTGGCCCAGCTGGTGCTTTCTTAGGTCGCAGTGAGACAGGCTGGATGAACAGCGAAGTATTCTATGAATACATTGCCAACAGTTTCTTGCCATTAGTTGAGCAGCAGAACATCCCAAAGCCTGTACTGCTGCTGGTGGACGGGCACAGTAGCCATGTGAGCTACCAGGTTGGCAAGCTGTGTAACGAATCCGGCGTAGAGCTGTACCCCCTCCCAGCCCATGCAAGCCAACGAGCGTCTCTATCGCCAGGACCACCTAGGAAAGTATGTGACAAATTACACATTTGCGAGCATTTGAGAGGAAGGAGCTAGTCCAAGCGGGTTTCCGAGCTGCTAGGATGAGAAGCTGGCTCGTGCTTCTGTATACAGGGACGAGGAGGTCTCTGATGTTACGATCAACGTCCCCGCCTCCGGTCTATAGGGTGATGCCGCTCCGTCATCCTCGTCTTCTTGAGGTCTTTCTCCTGAGAAGCATCTTCGCTATCCTCAGATAACGAAGGCGAAGACAGTGAGGCAAAAGAGGGAAGATCAGCCCAAGTGTATTAGTAGTGATGCATACCTAAAATACCTAAGGGAGAAGCAGGAAGCAAAGGATCAAGAGGAGCGAGAGATGAAGAATAATGTGAAGAAAGGTGGTAAGAGGAAGGAGAAGACCAAGAACACCGAAGAGGATTCTACTGCTACGATTGATGTCAACACCTGTCCAGAGTGCAGAGGAACATATGACAACGACCCAGAGGATTGGGTAGGGTGCTGCAATTGTGAGCGATGGCTGCACATCGTCTACTCACATGGATTGGAGGGTCTATCAGACGAAGAGATCGTGGCACTAGATTTCAAATGTCATTTATGTTAGAGTTACACAGAGAAAACACTGTTTAAAGCTTTTGGGGGGTAAAACTTGTATCACCTGTTTGAACTTTAAACAAGTTGTTTACAATAGGAACTGTACATCTGGCTGTTCAGTTCATATTTCTACAACCTATCTATTTTTTAAACAGCATTTCATCTGTGTATACTATCCAAAGATGAAATGCTGTTTAGGAGTTGGGGAGATGAAGCACCAGCGCAACAGCCACAGGTAGGTGCAGTGAGAATGCCAATGCCATTCAGACACGAACCTCCGCCAAGACTGGATGAGGGTGACGTGAATGATGGGGATGCACCTCATGATGAACATCCAAAACATCTTCTTAATATTGACTGGTAAGTTCCTAGTGAATGTTGTACTTGTAGAACATAATCTTAATCAAAATGAGTATCAAAGTTTGATACCCACTCTGTTGACTGATTGTTTTTACCTGTCAGGGTCTATGAATACGATGCTAAAGCCTAGGCTAAGCCTATGACAGTTTTGTCCAATATTTTACCCACTACCTGTGGAAATCCTGCAACTTAAAAAAACTCCAAAAAGTTCCACGTAAATTCAAACAGTCTATACATAAGGGATCCGACAAAGAAAACACCATCTACTATAAAGCACAAGGAATGTGAGACATGCTTGCGGAAGCTAAAGTGATGTCACTTCGGGCAATGAAATTTACGGATGATATGAAATCGATAACAAAGGAAAATTAAATAATGATTTGGTGCAATTAGATGTAATGACATAAAGGAGATGTTGCATAAAATGCGGCATGAAAGTACTTCCACTTCTGAAAAGAAACTTCTTGCCGGGTGGAACAAGAAGGAGGTTTGGTGGATTAAGGCAATCCGCCCAAACACTGATCCTGAAGAAAAACAAAGCAGGAACTCTTAAACAGAGGAGCACAAAGTTGAAAGTATTCTAGATCTCCAGACAAATGTATGATTAGCAAGAGACCACCTATGTACTACAACTTGATCTACCAGTATGGCTATGGATGGCGATGGTGACTCCCCATGCACATGTCTTCGTCAGAGGGGAGCGAGTATTCCCAATTGTTATGGTCTGTGGTTTGTGATGTAGGGGCAGGGATGAGAGACAAAATTGACCTAAATTAGTACGATCTAAGATTGCCGTTGGGTTGCACTTACAGTACCTTAACTTTGATCCTATACTTTCTTGCAGTTAATTTGCATCTGTCTGTTAAAATTTAAAAAATAGCTACTAACACTACTCATCCTTCCCAAATGAGTGACCAAGGTATCCAAACTCAGAGTTTGATCAGACCGTGTAAATTTGCACTTTGGCATAATTTTGAAATACTAATACAACATGTTTTAGCAAAGTGTATGGTTATTTTTCTTTATCAGGATAAGTACATGGTCCATTTTCAAACTTTATCTTACATTTCCTTCACAGTAACGTCCCAAGTTTCATTCAAATTGTTGTATGGAGTTTGAGACATTTAAAGAGTCTTGATACATGTATGTAGAAACAAACTTAATGCATGAAACCAACATCTGAACAGAGATGTCTACATGTTGATACCACACAAAGACATTTGTGAGATGCTTCAGGGTCTAGTCATTACGATACGTGGGTTTCAAATATCCTACAAATCAGAGAAGCTGAAAGGCGAAAGTCTGAATCAAGAGAGTTATGAATGTTGAGATCCACATATGCAAATCTCAAATTGGCAATTTTGTCAGTTGATTGTGACGTATTGACGGATAACTCTCTTGTTTATCGTGAACAAAAATATCACTAATTACTGGTTTTCTCCCAAGTGCATTCACCCTTGAAGCACTACTTGAAATATATTGTAGAGAGTATATCATTACAGGTCCTCCGACAGAAAAGACCATCCTGAATCATACATTTTTGAAAATTTGAAATAATGCCTGTAACTTTCAAAAATTCCTAACTTTCTAATTTTGGTCTGAATTCATTCAAACTTTCACCAGTACGCTTCTCTGATTTGTCTACTCTCTTCTAAAGTAGTTCAAGTATTTGCATGTAGTTGACAATATTTTGGCACTTCAAGAAGCTCCTATATATTTGTGTTACTCATTCAGAATTAGCCTACTGCCTCCACTGCTTGTGGTCTACCATTACTACGTGATTCTTGATTCTTGTTGCTGGGTGATGCTGTTCTTGTCAGCGATCCGTTCTTTGTCAGATTCAGGATCTCATAGATGTCCAAAGCCTCTCCTGTCAAACACATATAAAGAAGAAATACAGTGAGATAAGAGTTGAGCCAGGTTGCAGAAAAAAATCTGTCAGTGGCTTACAGAATATCTAACATTTATTTACAAATTGCTTAGTATAAAAGCATAACAAAATAAAAGAAACAGATTAGAGAATTTTCAGGTTTGTTTTTAAAGTATTCAGATCAGTCTTAATTTTGGAACTTATGATCCTGTGATTTCGATTGTTTCTATACTCTGTTTTTCGTCTGTGCAGAAAATATCACAATTGCCACTTCTCACTACAGGGACATTTCTTAAATTTATTTTCAACAAATGAAAATAATGAAGACATTCTTTCATATTCTTCTTTTTCCCTCACTCATTCTCTCTCTCTCTCTCTCTCTCTCTCTCTCTCTCTCTCTCTCTCAATCTCTCTCTTTCTCTCCCTCTTTCTCTCTCTCTCTGTGTCTCTGTCATCTTACCTTTTGGTATACCATATCCCCTATGCAGCCCATGAGGGTTAGATGGTGTTTGACAATCCATGGTGACTTCCTTTCTTAGCACAGTATCAATGTCCACAGCACTGAAGAAGGCTACAGACTGTAACAAGATCAAAGCAACAGAGTAATAGTTAAAGGCACTGTTTAACAATGTTAAATCTGAGATGCGTGGCCCTACATGTTATCAGTGCCTGTGATATAGTGTAATATTGAAACCCTCAAAAAATTGTGCTTCAAAATATCATGAAATGCCTTAAAAAAGTAAAAATCTTTTAATGACCGGTTTTACCATACTCATTTTATACCAATAGACTGTAGTGTTATGAAAACCATTAGGAAAATGCAAAATGAAATTTCCATTTTCAATCATAATTATCTTGAAAATCAGACAGGCGATCGGCTTGTACTAGTCATGGGATTCCTGAATGACCTGAAGGTTTATAATTATGATTGCAGCATGAGCTAAATCAAGGATATTGTTTAAGGATCTGAGACAAAGCTACCGGATCTCTTTAAAAGAGAAATTTCACAGGAAATGTAATTGTGTAATATGTTTCAGTGATAATAACATAGTTGGATGTACATGTATATAATAATTCCCCCCCCCCCCCCCCTAGGATACAAATCCGGCACTGAAAATCATTACTACCCTGGCTTAAGCAGGGCTTCCATCAGGTGCTATAGCATTCACGAATTTGTTTTCTTTATTGTACCCATTTATTTTACCTGTGTTGATAGTCTTCATACCCTGCCAAAGGATACAACTGCTGTAGCAGGGATTCAAATCCTCTACTATATGGTCGGTATTCCTATGGCTTATCCACTGGACCACACTGTTTTGTATGAGCCCACATCATCATTATAGACGGTATTAAATTCAATGGTCTACAAACTTCCACTCAAGTGTTAGCACGACACTTGCTTCATGTTTCCAATGTTCAACTCGACAAAAACTTCAGACTGGGATCTTTTTTTCCCTTTGTAAATCACAACTTTAGTCCTCACATCAAGTTGAACAGAATGAATAAAATACGAGCCAAAGTGATACTATGAGGGTTTTACCTCTCTGCACTTGAGTTACAGGATGCCTTACCTATGGATAACTGCAGGTACATTTGTACTCTGTCAGTAATTTAGGCAGATATACATGTACATATATGAAACATATTAAGATATACAGTAGGCTTGCGGGTGCACCATGTGAGAGAGAGAGAGAGAGGATTGAGGAGTCCTGAAGAGGACTCTCGGTAATCTTTCTTGAGGGTAAGATATGTCTGGTGAAAAATCTATCCCAACAAACATAATGAATAAAGATTAACTGAATTATGAATGAGATAAGTTACCTGTGGAAGATCATTCATGCCCATGTTATATGCAAAGACAGCTCTAGTTAGGAGGTTGGTGATCTGAAGAGCTAGAGCGGCCCGATATCTATCCTCGCTCTTGACTAGATAACGCACTTCATCGTGGATGCTGATACAGAATCGTCCATCAATGTTGTACATCTCAAACAGCCAACGCATACATACCAGCATCAGATGGAGGTAGTCTACTGCAGAACTCTGAACCACCCAGTTCACTCGACTCGTTAGAAACTGCCAAGAGATCACAATAAAGAAAATACGTTATTCAGGTCCCTCGTACAATATGCCATATACATTTAACTCTAAATAACTCCAATCTGTTGGGAACACAACAAAATATTTCCACTTTAATAGTTCAGCTTTCCAAATGCGACTTCAGGTTGTGCAGAGTTAACTGTACTTGGTGTAAAAAGGCATTACTCCATTTATCTGTCAGGTTCAAGTTTTGCGGTTCAAGTTTTGCAGTTCAGGTATCTTTAAGATCAGGTGTATTAGGAAGCAGCCTCCTACACTGTATCATTGTATGTCATTAGGAAGGTGAGCAGATGAATGCCTTTAGGATAATACACATACAGACTCCTAAACACTACATGGACCTTACAGTGGGGTACAGCTAAGAGGTTAGAGATAGAGTATTGGAAACTAGTTATTCCAAGTTAAGAGAAAAAAATGTGCAATGGTGCACTTGGGTAGTGGGAAAATCAGTCATATTCCTTTGACAAAAGTGCCAAGTAATGTTCCCTTGAGCTCACCTAAAATTTGTGGGTTTTTTTTTTTATTGCATTCCAGTAAAATGAACAATCGCTAACAATCACCTGTATATCCCTGGCCTTTTTCTGACAACTCTCAAAGACACAATTATGATTTTAATAAATAGGTGACATTTACAGTGAAGATAACTGCTCCATGCTTTAATTCTTCAAAAGATAGAGGGTTAGAGCTGCAACTGCAGTTAGGGTTAGGGTTCAGGTTAGGTATCTTATTTTGCCCAGGGTTGAAGTAAGGAATTTGATCAGTAAAGGACATAGACCATGGAGTAATCGTCAGGTACATACCTCATTATTGACTGTATCAGGTTGAAGAGCTCTGCTGATACTGCATTGTAAGACTGGTGTCCTAGGATTCTCAGACTGCGCTATATCCTCCAGCCCATTGAACATAGCCGACTCACTAAACAAGAGAGAAAAAGATCCACCGTAACATACAGAGTGTTCAAGAAAGAGGGAATCCAAACTTGAAAGGATGACCTTATTTGGCATGTCCATTGTATTTTTATCATGGATATAAATGAATGTCAGAAATAAATCATACAAGTATACTGGGATCAGTTAAGTTAAAAACCTGTCCATACTTGGATTAATATTTCACTAGGTTAAGATGAACTGATGGTTCAGTACCATAATGATGACGAAGACACATGCTCCCCAAGTTACAAATATGCAGAGCAAAATATGTTGGTGAAGTATATTTCCATCGACCATTCTCTTGTCATTAGAAATCATGTATGATTTGATTTTTAAAATCACCAGGGGAGAGCCAGTTATTAGTTAATAAGGAAATAGACTTTCATGAAAAGATGCATCCGGAATGCTGAGAAGCAATGTTTCTTAATTAAAATGTCTTTGACACGTATCTGAATGAAGTTGGGCTAACATTAAGCCTCATCAAGATGGTATATGTATTTACCAGCTCCATATCCTTACAATGTGATTATACCTTTCTGTGATAAAATTATGATTTTTAACAATTTTGCATTCAGGATGCGTCTTTTTGTGCCACTACATTTCACTGAGGTTCCTAAGGCTGTGTTAAATCAAAAAAGAGTCAATGCTCTTTTGGCTCTGAGCAGATAATATCTCCACTTACCTTCCACCTTCCCATTTTCTGCCATCTGTGATCTCGATATTTTGTGGACTGGAATAGATAGGCCTGAATATGATCAAAGTAAGAGCAAAGGAGAAATACAATTTTAAAATAATGACTGCATAACAGATGGAAGGAGACATTAGAAGACTATATCTGGCCTCATCCAAGCGGATGCTAAAGACCGGAAGGAAAATGAAATGTCAATAAAGCATGAGAAAAACAGAATGATACCAAACGACGACGACGACGGCGGCGGTGACGACGACGACGTTGACGATGATAATGATGATGATGATGATGATGTGATAACATAAACAATGGTGGAATGACCCAGAGAGATATACAACATATCCAAACACTCATATTTTGGAAGAGATCTAGATATTTTACAAACACAACACTGTAAAGAACAATAAGAAATATAATCCAACAGTACTGAGAGAGGGGAGAGCCCGAATAGAGTCTAAGAGTGCTGTGGCAAAAACATCTGACCCTAAACTAAAGAAATGGGGATAGTACTTTTTCACTCACTCTTTGATTTGTGCTTTCTTGGACAATATCTTGAGTTCTTCCAATGTGACCCAACCATCGCTCTCCTCTGCATCCAAGTCAAGCTGCTCAGCTAAGCTCTGACCAGTAGCTGAAAGGCGATACCTGCACCAGAGACATCAATATATAACGTCTTATCAATAATCAGAAGGGAAAAGATGCTGAAAGAATACAATTATTTTGTTTAATGACAACAGACAGAAAAACAGACAGAAAAACAGACAGAAGAACTTTCATTTAACCATACTATTTCATTATTAAACAGATACTAGATTGCTCTGACCATGCATTTATCTACTATGAATGATCTATTGATAACAATTGATATTAGGTGCTTATACCATATACATGAAGCAAATGCCAAAAATATGCAATATTGAGACTATCTATAGGGATATAGGAAAACTATTTAAAATTACATATGTGACATAGCAAAATATTCCAATCCAGAAAAAGAAATGTAAAATAATATTCTTTTTTTTTAGAGTTCTAATCACATTTATGTGACGGATACTACATGTTTGGTGAGGGGGAAGGAGAGGGATAAATCAGAAAGATTTGTAAATTATTCCATTGCCTCAAATATATCCTACTTCTCGATCTATCGCTCCTGTATTAAAACTATTTGAATGAGAGAATTCAGTAGTGAACAAGCTAAAAGAATAGCTCGACACTTCATAAACAAACAATTTAACCCTAATCCATTTGTTAGAATTTGTTCAATGCCCAAAGATAATGGAAATTTAATCATCTTTATAACATCCAATAAGGAATGCAGGATTGAACTCACAATCGTCTTCCTTTCGTTGCTATGTAGATATCTCTTGCTTTCTGACGAGCCTCATCCTGAGTGAGTCTGTGATTGAATTGGATTAAGAGCCTCATGGCAAACTTCTCTCCTGCTCCATAGATACGACCATAGTTGATCACCTGTACAAAATACAACAATGTAAGATGCTGAAACAGCTAATTTGTACATCAAGACTATTACACACACAAAAACACTGATAGCAGTAACATTTGCAGTATTCGCAGTACAGGGCACCCGTAGCAAGTGCAATGGAAAGGCCATACTCTGTGATGCCTTATGGGATGCAGTTTATCAAAATCCTTCTATTGTTGATTTAAAAAAGATAAAACTCTATACTATAAAACATATTTCAGAAACACTTCTCTTTATACAGCTTTCAAACTTTGGTACTTGAAATTGAATCACTTGTAAAGAGATCTCACACCCTATTATACAGTGGACAGATCTGTTCCTTCATTAGCATTTCTTCGTCACATCATACAATTCTAACATGAACACAGCCTTACCTTAGCATCGTCTCTGCTGATGCCTACAGTGGATGCTGTCATGCTATGCATATCTGTTCCTTCATTCTTCTTGCTTTGTAACATCATACTATTCTAATATGAACACAGCCTTACCTTCTCTGATGCCTACAGTACTATGCATGTTTATTCCTTTATTCTTCTCGTTTGTAAAATCTTACAATTCTAAAATGAACACAGCCTTACCTTAGCATCGTCTCTGCTGATGCCTACAGTGGAAGCTGTCATGCTATGCATATCTGTTCCTTCATTCTTTTTGCCTTGTAACATCATCCAACTAAATGCTGTACAACCTGTGTAGAAACAGAGAGACAACATGCTTTGAAGATATATTCTGCATTATTATTCAGAGAAAGACACTAGAACCCAAATATTTCTGGCACTTCCAATCAACTTTGTCCTACTTGAGGCTGCAAAAATTTTCAAACATTGGATGAAAAGATGAAAGAAAGGGACCGAAACAATGGACTGATACAAAAAAGCACATGTAAAGGTTGATCAAATATATACTTTCTCCAATATATTTAAAAATATTTATTTGATCCCCTTAAATCTACTGAATATCTATAAAGTTGAAGGAAAAAGTAAATACCCGGTAGGTCTTTATCACCAAAGAATTAAGAACTAAAATGAAAAAATATTTTGATATTAAGGATGTCACTTATTACCATGGAAACCTGCAAAGTTTTTATCTCCAACGAGTGCTGCAATCCAGAGTTCTTGAGAATCCACGTCTGCTCCAACGAAATGATATCCAGGAGGGCATTGGATCATGGACTTCAGCTCACTCCCTACTCGATCAGTCTAGTATGAGAGTAGATTAGAGAAAGACAACCGCTTGATTACTCTACTTAAATTCTAAGTAATGATAGGATATTTAATGTCAAGAAGGTAATCAGGTCAACTGCACGATAGCAAACATTTTAAAAATGAATTTCTTTCAGCAAAGATCAATTTAGATAATAAAACTGAATGATACTAGTCTAAAAGTAGGCTCAAATATAAATAAACTGAGAGTAAATAGCCTCTGAGAGGCTTTAAACAGAATTCTTAATAGAAATTCAAACAACTCAGCATAATAATAGTTTCCATACAATGTCCAAATACAACTCGTGATGATTGGACAAGTTAATTTGAAGACCTATAATTCTCTGCATGAATATTGAACTCACTCTGGCATTACTAGCAGTCAGCCATGTTGGTTCTACAGCTCTCCTTGTGACTGTTCCCGCAGTGATGACCCTTGGTATGATTGCTCCATAGAAACCATCTTCATCATAATCAGGATTTCTTCTGACTGACAATGGTAGATCACCTCCCTCAAGGTGCACAACCATCTGAGAACTACAAACAGTAAACAGAGGGAATTATTCTTTTTAATTTCAATGTATCTGGGGAGAAGATCAGTATCCTCAAGAAGCGGTTACTTTTGTCCAGTCAGGGTCAGATGACTAACCCCAATAATTTAAAATTAAAAAAATTCATAAAGAGAAGGTTGAGTTCCGGGAAATGTGAAAAATAATCTGTGAGAGTTTTTTAATCTTGTTATGTTTGTGAAGAAGTTTGTGTAGAAATGGAGTGCTATTTTCAAATGCTCTCATAGTTGAAAAGAAATAGCTAAAGTGTTTCAGCTAAACTTTATGCCACATGTTTGCATAGTCATAAACACACATTTTTGTGTACAGTGCAAGTAAATTTCAGCAAGAACACGTCAACTTCTTATCCTTTTGGAAGTTCAAAACCTCACAGTAAACGTCAATTTGTGCTATCGGTGGTGTCTCCAAACAAATTCAAAAAGTTTTTGATTAGCAATATCTTATAAAGCATTTAACCATCCTCATTGAAATTTTGAAGGTGATTTGTTTTTATAATCCTCTAAACTCTGTGTGAATTTCACAAGGATGCACGCTAACACTACAAGAATCTGATCATTTTTGTAAAAATGTATCAATTTGCAAATGTCACAAAGAGAGCGTGTTGATTAGCATCGTGAACATACAGAGGGTGTCTTACTGAGCCTTACGAGTCATAGACTTGGGCATTGTTTGTGCATACACATGTGTAGCTGGTGTTATACAAAGATAGGGGTGTCAGAACGTAGGAAGAAAGCATGTTGTGACATTTCTGGTACCTGATTCTCTTCTGAGCATTCCTCCAGAAAGAGATAAACTTATTAATCTCCAGGATCCTGTTGGCCTGAGCCCCGCCTCCAGATCCAAGGGTTCCGTCTTCAACCTTGTTCAAGAAGTCCTTGGCAAGGGGATTACCAACATTAGAATCAGCTCCATCCTACATTGTATTAAAAGCATTGGTAACAATTGTTCAGATATGCTGCAGGTAACTGGGGAGGGTTTCTTTTGTTTAATGATGCAAGTGTAATTAGCTTGACATTTCTGTATCTTATAACACAGCTCAGTGAATACACATCTGACAATTGTTACAGTGAATACACATCTGACATCTGACAATTGTTATTGTGATTAGCTGCCGGAAAGTAAACGTAAAGTCAGCCTTTGCTTTCTGTATTGTTATTTTAAGATGTTTTGATCATGTAAAATACCCCTCCTTATTAAAGTCATATATATTTCAAGATAACCTTGTTGATACCACAGACAGGTAATAGTCAATGGCATTAAAAGCTTGTGAAAATGAATATGGTTCATACCTTGTGAGGTAGTTTGTAGAACCAGCATCCTGGAATGTTGACATCTTTGACAGGAAGTCTACCACTGTGACTAGGGGCTGATCTTGAGGTCTAAAATAGGAACAGAGAATTTTATTTGGAGAAATTTCTCTTCCATAGCAATTTACATAATTCTAGCAATGAAATGGCTTATACACTCAGTTTAATATTAATTGGGTGATACATGATTTCAAACATAGAAAAGATGAGTATTATTAGGTATCACAGAAGAGCTGCATTGAGTGGGGACACAGAGCTCAACCACGCGAATTCTCTCTTTATCAAGGAAGATTTTCATATCATGGAAAAAATCAATATCATAAAATTATATGTCTCTCTAAAGCTCAGGATTCTGTCTTTCATGTCATGTCATTTTCATCAAAATCCATCAATTACTTACGACACAGTTGCTTGTGATTTAACCTCTAATTCGTACCGTGTCACTTCGTTTGTCCCCATTTCTATTTGATCGCCGATTTGCATCGCTAGTTTTAGCTCAATACGCTTGAACGCCATTTGTCTTTGAGTTTTAAAAATCCACTGGTTGGAAAGAGCACATCTTAAGCTTTATTTTCATATAAAAAATGATGGGGGTATGTTTCAAAAAGATCGGTTACCACAACATGACCACGAGGTCATATAAAGTATTTACTTCATATGTCACGCATCTTACTCAGCATCATGCAGAGTTTGCTGCAGTAGGGGAAAACATACATGTACAGGTACCAAACACTGCAAATGAATTAGAACAATTAAATCCACAACCCCCTGAAACAGGAGAAGAAGACGCACCTGTTTTACAAACTGATGATGCAACACCCTTCAATGTGCGACGATGAATAGCTTTGTTTATTTTGTCCATTCAAGTACTTTGTTTCCTTTGCATTTGGACATTCAGTAATAAAGAGGTGTTTTTATCTGTAAAATTTGTGTAAATCTATCCCTTTATTTTGGAGAAAGGTACCGGTATATTGGTTTTGCAGTTATGCTTATATTGAATTCGCAATTTGTGAATTTTCAGCAATTTATTGGTTTGAGAATTCAAGGTCTTACTCGGCATGCAAACATTACATAAATATAGGACTTCCATTCTTACAGTGACAAACATACAAACTCACAATTTTAGCTCACACCTATATGGTAGCATGCAGGGAAATATCTTATCATTATTTGAATGTCAAATCGCAATTTACTCACATTTGGTTAAATAACTCACTAATTTAGATTACTCATTTGCCATATAATCACATGTGATGAGCCTAATAACCTGACTGAATGAGTAATTGAAGAATTACTCACTAGTTGAGATGAAGCGATTTACTCACAACATTAGGTTAAATAACTCACTAATATAAAATACTCATTTGCCATGTCACTATCATGTCAAATTAACAAAACTCATTCCTGTGCATTATCAATTTAAATTTAATGAGTTAATGCATTCAGTTAAGTGTGTCACCATTGTGTCAAAGTTTATTTCCCTATTTGAGTAAGATTACCCAAATATTTTTTGTGTGCTTCTGGAACTAAATATCCCTCTGTGCCCTTATGCTTTTTTTTTTTCTGATTTGATTACATAAAATATGTACACAACATTCCTGAACATAATTTATACACTATGTTGTGGTGTATATTAGAAATGAATTGAAGTCATTATCTACATGTACCTTTGTAGAGATTACCTTGGCTGAGCTTTCATTGGTCCTGCTATCACTCGGAACATCATCAGATTGAGTAGATGATTGCTTTTCTTGTCTAGAAGACATCATGTCTTGAAGGCTCCTTACAGTCAAACAGGAAGAGGGAGGATGATGATGATGATGATGATGATTCTATGTTACATTTGATGTTAATCACTGAAATTTGATGCTTCAAATGACCCTGAACATTCATTCAAAGATATATTACTTTTGAATTCAGGTTCACTCATTTAACCTCAATCTAAGATGGAGAAGTGTCCCTTTCTCACATGCACAAAGAGAATATTTATATCAAGCTCACTTTAACAATGAAAAAAAGAAAGAAAGAAAGAATCCATTAATATATCAATCCATCAAACAAACGATCGATCCAATCAATCAATCAATAAACAACATGGAAAATGTCCTTTTCTCAATGTACACACAGAATACTTCTATCAAACTCACTTCAAAGGGAAGGAGGGACCAGGCTCAGTCCTCTGTTGATATCTACTATCAGGTTTGCCTGGTACAAGGTAGCCCCATCCATGCTTAATGGTGTAGTGTAATGGGTAGCCATCCCATGTAAGACGCAGGAGCTTGGGTGTAATCCTGGTCTGTGAGCTGATTAAAGAAGGCCCAGGGGACCAATCCACGTGGGACTTCTTGGGGCACAGCTCTCGAAACCAACTGCAATAAAAAACAGCAATGAAAAGAAACATGTGAACATGAAGGACATGGCCTCATTTCACAAAACTTGTCATCAGTGAGAAATTACATTTTCTGTATAAGCTAGTGATATCCTTGCTTCTGATTGGTTATCAGCAGATTTGTCACTGCTTTCTGTCATTTGTCATTGAAAAAAGGTTTTGTGAAACGGATCCCTGGTATATAACATTCAAATAATCAAAGAGGCAACTCTGACATAGGACTGTTCCTTCACACTGAAGCAGAGATATATTTTCCAAAAAAATGATTTGATCAGATTCTTTGATATTTCTGTGTTAAGTGAAGCAAATTACCAGACTAAATCTTCCCTTAAACACACTCTATAGCAGTCATTTCCTTATATTTACAATAAAGGGCACATATTTATTCATTTTCTCTTTATCTTCAGCTTACTCTGCACATTGACAGGACCACAGAAGATAAATGCCACTTGCTCAAGCAGTAATTATATTAAGCTCATCCACCGAAGAATTATTAATCAGACTACTTTAGACTCATTAAGATATTTCAAAGGAACTTTGTTCTCGGAGCTAGAAAGATGGCATCTCGTTATCCCCATTCACAGGGATTCCTCATGATTATAATATCATCATTTTAAAGCCAAAACGTCACATACTAATGTTTGAGGATATCTATAATAGGTTGCTAAAAAAAAAGTTTGAAAAAGAATCCAGTATTTAAAACAGACATCAACCACATAAAATGTCTGTTGATTGGACCAGTGAGCAACATGATCTTGATCAAGAGTTTATAAAAGTTACACAACGTTAACTTGTATCTTCCAAATGACTACCGGTACCTTCTTAGCATATCAAAAGTTTGTTGTTTCTATCGGGGTCAAAAAAGAATAAAGAAGGGTAAACATATCTATTCTTCTGAATAAGAAAATTTCTTTAAAATATTTGTTAAAGCTCTTCCAACTTACACAGGGTATCCTGTCATATGCTGGTTCACTTTAGGGATTCTTGCTGCTGTGCTAAGCACATCTTCAACACAAGTCTCTTCCTTTACTTCTTCATTTTCTTCCTCTTCACTCTCAACTTTTTCCTTCGAACATTCCTCATCCTTTTTCTTTTTCTTTGCTCTCTCGGAAAGAGGGATAGTCTTCCGGAGTCGGTAGTCATCCACAGACCAGTCTAATTCCCATAGCCACGGGTCCTCACGATACCTGCATCATAAGAATTCAAAAAGTTACATATGTACGTAAAGCTCTTCATACTTGCATCTTTGGCACTTCACAGTTATCAAATGATATTGTCATTAGTTTTCAAGCATGTATACAACATAGGGCTACAAGGAGTAGTTGAATGCTCGAGTACCCGCACGGTTGACAACTACTCGAGTACGATTTGTCGTACTCGAATATTCGGCCGCAAAAAAAAAAATCCTGGTCACCTGGCACTGTCCACGCCAACGCTTAGCCGTGCCAGGAAGAGCGGCGGTCGCTGGCATGGTACCGTCGGTAAAAATGTTTTCCCAACTCGAGCACTGTCAAACTCACCACTCAGAAACTGGGACCAAATGTCCGGATTTCTGTTTGGACTCAGAGGAAAATGGATTATTCTGCCATCTTTGGTTTTTAAAACAGCATTGTTTACTCTTATTATTATTATTAAAATCGGCACCTTCAACTGCAACTCGAAGTAAAATTGCATGCGTTTTTCGGCGACAGACCTGGGATACTGTTCCAGTGGTATGGTGGTGGCAAAAAAAAAATTCAACAAAATTATAAAAAAACATGGCGTCCGAATATTCAAGTATTCGCTTGTAAGCCTGGGAGTGTACTCGGGTACCTCATTACACTGTTGTGCACTGCCTTAAGTATTGTGTACGATTAAATGCAAGATTACTGAAAATCACAATAACTCTTGGTGATCCCAAAAGTGTTACATTCTATCCCGGATGCAGAGTGGGAAATGAAGAAGAATGCCTTCAGTGTCTTCCTGAAGACATAAGTGCAAATATGTGTGTTGACCTTTTCATTCGCAGTGCAAATTTTGTAAGTGTTCGTGTTATAGTCAAAGTTGATGTTTATACAGAAGTACACACCTGAAAAAATAATAGAAAAACCCAGAAAGTAACAGTATCTTTAATACACGCCGATTGACAATGCAAATAAGAGACTACAGTGTGAGAGTGTCTACTTTATTTCAAGCAATACTGTACTTACTTGTCTTGGTGGTGCATGTTACAAGCATCATTGGCAATGTGCATCAAAGATTGTTTCATCTCCTGCTGCAGGTTGTCAAAGGTCTCCTGAGCGTCTCTCAAGTATCGCTCCCAGTTCTGGTTGATCGGCAGGTAAGCCTGTCCCATCTCTAGCATGGCTGCAAAGGTCACAGGGTGGGGGAACCTGCAGAATGTGTCATTACAAGAAAGGACATTAATGGGACAGTGGATTGCACTCTTACACAGTCGCAAATGATATATCCATCTTATTTCAAGCATTAGCTACAAAGATACTATCGATACTATCATTTTCTCTTTTTTTCAGAGGTGACTGGCTATATACATGAGAAGGAAAACAGTGATATTATCAAATATCATGACATTGTTATATGCTCAGGGGTGATAGTGAGCACTAAAAAAAAAAAAAAGGGGGGGGGGTTTTTTCCCCCTCAACCCCCGCCCCCCTTTAGTAAAAAAAAAGAGAAGAGGAATCACGGGGAAAAAAATGGCATCTAACAACATTCCCCCCTTTCGAGTAGGAAAATTGGGAAAAAATAGGGCAAAATAAGGAAGATTAGAGAAAAAAAACAGGGAAATCAGTAAAATCAGGATACAAGAAGGAAGAAGAAGTAAAAATCTGGTTAAACATTTTTTTTTTTTTTTTTTAATGATTTTTTTTTTTTTTTTAATTGGGAAGAAGAAAAAAAATCAGGAAAAAATCAGGAAAAAAAAAAAAAAAAATCAGGAAAACAATTTAAATCAGGTTTTTATCAGGCCTGTATGCTAGACATCATGAGGGTTTATCAATTTCATAAATCTTACTAAATCTTACAAAAAACAAAAATCTGAATACCTGTCTTAGAGTAACTAAGACAGGTATTCAGATTTTTGTTTTTTGAACTCAATTCACATGAAAATCAAGAGCACAGTTTTAGCATATCTGCAAACTACAACAATCATTGCTGATTCAAAATCTGTAAAAACAAAATGCTGAATTACAGTAGAAGTAGATTGCATTGAATCATTTAAATCTTTACACACACATAAAATCAACAACAACAAACAAAAAACAAAAAGAAAACAGAGGACCGTCGAACTGTTTAGATCAAGCTCACATTCAAACCAACATGAAACAAATCTTAGTGACTCATAGCTGTAAAATCCTGTACATGGTGGCATACATTAGTTACCTGTCACTGAACATAGGAAGAAGCTTACTGATGACCTTATGTGTTGCAGCTACATCTTGAGCACAGTATGTCATTAGAGACTAAGATCAAAGACAAATAAACATTAAGTAAATTTTTTTTAAAGTCATTTACATTTGCAGCTTTCAATTAAAGCCAGTGTCATGATACATTATAATATGATTGCAGGGCCTCAAGGGAAAACAAAATCAATACTGATGAGGCACCCTGGGTAAAAAAAGACATATTCTTAGTAGTAGTATTATATCTGTACCTGTAAAAGTTCTGAGTATATCTACAATGTATATCTTATTCAGTCTGAGCTTTGAAAAATTTGTTTCTCCGAGGGAAGGGGGTTATTGTTGATATCATTGATCTGACATTGGCTTCAGCGACATTTGCCTGGTGCTGTATTTTGTCCAGGTTTAAATTACAAGTAAGGGTTAAGGATCTGGATTAAGTTATGGGTATCATGTTTGGTCTTGGGTTGAAGTCAGGAATTCATTCATGTAGGAGTTGAGCACAGAATACTTGTTGCTGGAGCATGCATTATATAAATACCCTACCCTCTGTATCTCACCTACAATAATACTTATACAGATATAACAATGTTTTTAAATAAAGATATTGTAGCTCCATGTTTTGGCAGAAAATGGTTCATTTGTTATGAATAACGTTTAGCTAGCTAAATGCACATTTTGTGCATACATTGAAAATTTTTCTCAATGAAAACAGGCCAATCACTGTACAAATAATGGTTAAAATGTTGTGCAATCTACTGATATTCAACACATGCCTTCTGAAAGACACCAATCGATTAGAAATCACATGAGTATAAAGGATCTTAAACCAGTTCAAGCTCAGAGATATAATACAAGGCCTAGTATAATCACCTGAAAGTCAGCTCTGATATCAGCCATACTCCCATGCACAAAGGTATCTCTCTTGGTCTTATCAAGTGTGCTGCCATCATCACTATACAGGCTGTACACATCAGCCAGATTGTTGGGACTACTCTCTGCTAACCATGCAGTAGCCTGTATATCAACAAATATGGGTGTCTGTCAAATTCACCGTCTCTGATTACTACATTCCTTGAAATAAATATAAATGGGTATTTGCAATTCTTATGTTACAAAGTATTGAAGAAAAAAAAATTATTTTAATTATCTAAATGATTACAATTGATCTTTATCAATGAGTAATACTAAACATAACAATTCCATTAAAACAACTACAGCTATAAACTTAATATCCTTAAGTTTGGTTTCCTCAAACTTCTTCACATAAAAGTAAACCGCATTTGAAAGAAAAGAAGAAAAATACAGAAAACATTAGTATTCTACCATTCAGGATTTATTAAAAAAAACAATGTGTTTCATGCTTCAATAAGTACATAACGTACAGTTTGATTTGAGGATTGACATGTCCACTGACAAGGGAGAAATGTCAATGAATTTTTCCAATTAAATTCAATATAATATTTGCTGTTTAACATTTCGAATGCATGAAGTCACGTTCTTCTTTTTAGTTATGTCAAAGTCTAAATGTCAATGTACATTTTATAACCTAATTTCATGTTTTATTTTATTTTACTGTAAATATGACAATATTAGTCTCCAGACTTTTGTCATGTTATTTTTTTTTCTTCTGACTAAAACCGAAATTGAATTGAAATGAATTGAGCTGTACTTACAGGAGCACCAAAGGATTTCTTGTTATGCTTTTTCTGGATCCAGGGTGCAGCAGTGGCACCCCCTCCTCGTGCATTGACCTGCCAAAGCGCCCTCTGGAGGGTGGTCTGCCCCGAGACACACATGTGAAGGCTCAAGGTGTCTAGGAAACGAGTCTTTGTACCCTGTCATCACATGCAAATCATAAAGAGTTATTGTGCATTGTGTTCTCTCCTTTAGAGTGAAGCAACATCAATACAAATGAGCAAAGAGTAGAATACATGTGTATACCCTGTATCATGACTAAATAAGTCTTTTCTACCTTTCAAATGATTTTTTTCAATTTTTTTTTTTAACCCTTTGATCCTCAATTCTAATCCGTTCAATATTCCATGATTGCACATAGGCTATTTGAGCAAGATTTTGCAAAAGTATATTTCAGTCAGAAGTTGCCACGATGACAAATAGCAGGATGGATGGACAGACTAATTAAAAAGTGATGCTTCTGGCTACAGTGCAGAGAAACATAGTGAGTATTGGCAAGGAACAGAAAGAGGGACAGATAGAGGGTGGAGGGGGAGAGAGGGAGAGGGGGGAGGGGGAGAGAGGGAGAGGGGGGAGGGGGAGAGAGGGAGAGGGGGAGGGGGAGAGAGGGAGAGAGAGAGAGAGAGAGAGAGAAAGAGAGAAAGAGAGAGAGAGAGAGAGAGAGAGAGAGAGAGAAAGAGAGAGCTGCTTAAAAGAGCATGACATGTTTCTAACCTGCAACAGGTACTGTTCTTTGACAAAGCTCCGGTCAAAGCTGACATTATGTCCAACGATCAGTCTCTCTGTCCATTTCTTGTTGGGTGGTTTGGTAGAGCCTTTCTTAGTCTCTAAAGGAATGAGGTCTGGCAGTGCCAGCTTCTGAGACAGTGTAAGATGATCTTCAATCAGTCGATGACTACACCATGAATACCTGGAACAAAGCAAGGTAGTTTAAACATAATATCAACATATGGGTCGGTAAACTTTGGTGGGAACAAAACTAACCATGGGTTAATGTTGGCAGAGGTTAATTAATGCAATATATCATACCATTAATCGTTAATATTTGTTGATTTAGTACGAGTGTTCAAACAAGATATATTGTATTTTCAAACAATTCCTAAAATGTAAGCAGACCATATTGCCTTTAAACTATAGCAATTCATTCATTCATTGTTCACTTTTTCCGTCTTTACCATGCATTTGTTGAAACTGCTACAGCCAAAGTAGGGAAATTCCCTTCAGCCATGCAGCACTCCATGTCAAACACAAGACTTTGGTCTTCAGGAAAATCAACAGGAACAGGGCTCTCGTTTTCAACATACCTATTCAAGACAAAAGAGGGAGAAAACAGTTCATATTTTTCTTTCACAAGTGTAATAACATGATGTACAAGTTGTAAATCTAAAAGCATTTATTCTTTAACAGTAATGGAGATTAAAAACATGACTGCATCAAAAACCAATATCCACTATAGCTCATTTTGAAACATTCCGTCTGCTGAAAGTGTTTAAATTAAAGGAACTATATAGATCAACACCACAATGGCAAAGTCTATATATTGTTGTCTCACATGTTAAGATGGGTGCACCAGATGAGAGAAATCAAACATGGGCACAAATGGTCACTGTCTGGTCCCTGTTTTAAGTATAAATCTTTAAATGAGAGTATCTTACTTCATCCATCCCTCTTTGAAAACCCAGTCTTCAGGCATAGGAGGAGGGAGGGTTTCTGCCAGTTCATGAGCCATGTCTAGATATGAAGCACTCTGTTTATTGGCAAGAATCTGGAAATGTTCATCGATGCTACTCCCAAAGAGTCTTGGCAGTTTGAAATCAACATCAGGTAAGATGGAACCTTCTTTGCCCCATAGTCTGTGATTCTCAAGATGTTCCTTGGTTTTCTCTAGGAGTTCATCGTTTTTAGTTTCTGTAGCCTGTTTGACCTTTGACCTGCTCGAAGCTTTCCTGTTGAATATCCGTTGATGAAGATTCTTTGAGAGCATCTGAATGTTGATTGCATTCATCCTTAACTGAGGAGAAGTATCTAATGTTGAATCTACTGATACTGATGATGACGAATGTGATTCCTCTGGTTTGCCAACGCTGCTGTCATCTTTGGATAAATGATTCTGGTCAGATGTTGAGAATGGTGATGATGAAGTTGTGGATTCATGTTGCCATGGTAGTGTTTTCCTAAACCTCGCCGAAGGATAGAGAGGTCTGCCATGGATCAATCTGCAGTAACTGCACAAATGAACCACAGACTTCCTACATCCTTTTCCAACACCAAACATCTTGAACAGGAAGAGTGCTCTGAGAAGGAGTATTGCTGATCAAGTGTTCCACAAATTTTTCAGCCCTGCTGAACAAAAGCAAAAAGAAAATATTAAAAACTCACAAAAGTTCACATTTTAATACACTTTTTCACACAAGTCATGCAAAACACTGGTAAACTCAAAACATTGAAAACACTGAAATTGAAATGAGAATGTCCACTTATAAATGAGCCTGTCCTCCAATGGACCTCGATACACAAGGAATATTTTACATTAATTTTCATCTACTGGTATATGTTTGAGAAAAAACATACAGGTATTCATTTTACAATGCATATACTATGGACAAATTCAAAATATGCTGAGAGCCATTTTCTTCCTTAGATTCCACTTTTGTTGATCTGATCTGCATCAAAATTGGACTGAAAGCTTCAGTTTTTTATATTGACGGTTGTTCTGCCGAGACAGCGTCTAGCTCCATTGACCTCCTCAATGCAGTTAGTGTGTGATTGCTGAGCTCATCACATTCAATAGCTTAAAAACAATGGACAGATTACAGATTAGCTGAGAGTAAGTTCTTTAATATATTTTCATGTTTTACAATGATTTTTGATGTTTTGATGCTTTCTTGAACCAATTAATAGTATTGTGCACGATGAGATCAGCAATCAAACAGTAACCACTAACTGCATTACATAACCTATGATCACAAATTCAATGTACTGCAGTCTCCGACTCTGTATAGAGGCGGTCAAAAGAGCCAGACAAAGTCTCGGCAGAACCATCAATATTAATAGAGACTGAAGCTTCCTATCTATATTCAAGGCTATATGCCAAATAATAATGCAAACACATCTCTGAAAAACATAAAAAACATATGCATATATGCAGATTTTACGGCTGTATCTTTTGATAGAAAAATCTGTGAGTCTTGAAATTTGAAATATGTTATTATTATTACATTATTTATTCTTATATTTAAAAACAAGGGAAACGCTCTTGGCGGTCTCGCTTGCATTACGCAATTCGACATGATGAAAAATTGAGGTTGGGACATTATTTATAGGCAGGGTGGCCCATTAGCAGGCCCCCAAAATTGAAATCCTCTGTACATAATCAGCATTTTGAAGTGAATATTTACAAAGAATTATCTGGAAAATTACTTAATATTATTTTTACGAAGACTGATAACTTTCATGAAATATGAACAAATAACAAAAAATTATTTATTAAATCTCATATCAAGTTGTGAAAACAAAATCCAAGTCTACTGACCTAAAATGACCTTAGACTTTGACTTTGTGATCTGGAATTTGTGTCATATGATTTGTGATACTTGATAACCCTCGGGTACAAGTTTCATGGAATTTGAACAAACACTTTTGAAAATAGGCTAAACATTAAAAATCTTGATATTGATGCCACAACAAAGTCTAAGTTTGTTGACCTAAAATGACCTTTGACCTTAACTTAGTAACCTGAAATACTACTCAAATGACTGGGGATACTTGATAACCCTATAGTCCAAGTTTCATTGACTAAGAACTTAAACTTTCAAAATTATATCAAAAATTCAAAAACTTAACCTTTGATACCACAACAAAGTCTAAGTTTGTTGACCTGAAATGACGATTGACCTTAACTTAGTGACCTGAAATACTACATGATTGGGGATACTTGATAACCCTATAGTTTAAGTTATATTGACTAAGACCTTTTCCTTTCAAAATTTTATCGAAAAAATTCAAAAAGTTTTTGATGTCGAAGCCATCGCCGTCGCCACCGCCACCACCGCCACCACTGCCACCACTGCCACCACCGCCACCGGAAAAGCGGCGCCTATGTCTCGCTTTTTTGCTACGCAGGCGAGACAAAAATGGTGAATAACGATCCCAAATTGAAGATTGAAAAATCGTCCAGACACCCTATCCTTATCTGCAGTGCGCGGAAGCTTTGATGTTTCTTTGACATGTAACTTTGTAGTCTGATTACCTTGTTAATTACTATAATCATTTTTTGTTTATCTGTATTATATTTGTGAAATATAGACCTATGTGAAATGTGAAACCAATATTTATAGGGTGTCTAATCGCGCATCCGATGTTGTGTGCTAAAATTCTTTCCTTAGAGATTGCATGCATCCCTAAGCAGTCTACGTGCATTGCGCGACCGTGCAAAATTGGTTAATTTTTTTTTTTCAAATCGAGATTCAAACCTTTATTCTTTGTGATCCTGAAGGTGATACTCAATATATGAGGCGTCATATGAAAGAGCAGGTGAATCCCCATATTTCCAAAGGGGCTGCATCTCGGAATTCTAAAAATATCTTGGTCAAAACAGTGATTTAAACATTGTGTCCTGGCTAACTCCAAGGTTTGACACTTTTGAGATATGCAGCACCGATCGATTAAAGTAGTCCCAGTCCTAAGGAATATATTTATGCGCTTTTTTTTCCGCTAGCCCCCAGGGATCACAAAGCAGGGCATAAATTAATTCAAGGACCCTTTGATTGGCATCAATGCCCCTCTCATTGGCCTTGGAGATTTTTTGTGCCCCTTCCAATTCTTCCTATTTGTGCTGTAATATTTAAGTGCTGTAAGTGGCCTTGCCCTAAAAGTATTAAAATTTAAGGATTACAGTTTAAAAATACCCTTCCCCCTATTTGTTGGATCAGCTAATTAGGGAGACGTGCGCTCCGCTCAGTCCAAACCATGGTTACATCGTGTAATATCTCCGCGTACGAACAAAACCCGAAAGTCAATTACACATTATAGTGAATGAAAGTATGGCTAGCAGCGTTGTCTCCGCGATATTTCCATTGACTATAACGTGTATTCACTTCCGGGTGTTAATGTGCGAACAGCTAGCCACACTAGTCAATGGCAAATATCGCAGAGACAACGTGGCTCGAGCTGCAAGTTGCGCATTCAGCCGAGCAACATGCGTACGCTTGCATATCGCGCGATACAGGTGTTTTGCTAAATTCAGCAAAACAACATAGCTCTGCATGTACGTCTTTTTCATCGATTCTGACCAAAATGATATGAATATTGCAGCGTTTTGGAGGGGCTGTATCTTTTGATAGAAACATCGGTGAGACTTGAAATTTAAAGTGACTCGGTAACATTGTTGAAGGTTGATGAAAAAAATTGCTTAATTTTTGTATAAAATGTTACTTACTATATTCCTTCTACTATACTAACTAGGCCTGAGTCATGTCGGGATTTTCATAAACCGGGTCCCGACGGCCTTGCACCGGTCGGGACCCGGTGTCCCGAAATCAGCTCGCAGGATTTGTCACTTGCCTCTATAAAAAGCGCATATCATCAGTATGTCCCTTAAAAGTGACATTTTTATCAGTCAAATAAATCAACACATGCATACCTCGGCACAGATTGGTATATTCTTCCATTTGACATTATATTCATCCATGATTGGCGATGTTTAGTGCCATTATCGTGCCTCTAAAAGTAAAAAAACTCGAGCAAAAATATAAAGACTACAATCGAGCCGCCATTTTGATTCATGCAGGTTGAATAAATCTGGTCAAAAAATATGAATGTTAGAATAATAAAACGGCTTTCTAAAAAATTCTTCTGTACAATATACCGATCATATAATATTTTAAAGACAAAAATAAATATTTATCTCTTATTTTAAACATCGCATGCTTTTTTTTTAAAGCTGAAAATTACTTGGTAATCACAAGAAGTTTCGATACGAATAGCTGTTGCAAGGCAAGTTCAGACTAGTCTCGGAAAAATGCGCAGTGCTCCTCGTTATCTGTAATGCGTGCCAGAACGAACCCAAACAAAGACGTGATCGTAACGAGAAAAAAATCATTAAAAACTACGAGAGCACAATTGGAAAGATATACTGCTCAAAATTACCATAATCAGATACATAACTTGGACAATGAATTCAATAATCGCCCAAGACATGCCACAGAAATTGTGATAATCGAGGAGTAACTGGGTACATTTTTATCGCAAGGGGCCTGCTGCAAATACTCGAATCCTTTGTTATACTGCTTTTTACCGTAGAGGGCGGTATTTGCCTCGTGTTCAATTTAAACACGTTTAGATATATTGCAGCAGGCCCTTTCGATAATGATTGTACCTATAGTAACTCATTAAATATCACTATTTATGTGGCTTTTCTTGGACAACTATTGTATTCTTCCTCCAAGTTATGTATCTGCTTACGATAATTTTGAGTAGTTGTCTTTCCAATTGTGCTCTCGTAGTTTTTAATGATTTTTTCTCGTTACGATCACGTCTTTGTTTGGGTTCGTTCTGGCACGCATTATAGCTAACAAGGAGCACTGCGCATTTTTCCGAGACTAGTCTGAACTTGCATTGCAACAGCTATCCGTATCGAAACTTCTTGTGATTACCAAGTCATTTTCAGCTTTTAAAAGAAGCATGCGGTGTTGAAAATCAAAGAAAAAATATATATTTTGTCTTTTAAAAATTATTCGATCGGTACGTTGTAAAGAAGTACTTTTTAGAAAGTCGTTTTATTATTCAAACATTAATGTTTCTTTCAACCTGATTTATTAATTCTGCCGAGAGACCTGGCCAGTACAGTAGCTAGCTAGCAGCTGGCAACAACAACCCCATGGGGCGAACTGCTTTGCAACCCATATTTATATCAGCAGTTCGGATTGATTCTGGATGAGCTAGAATACGATTGGTAACAATTAAATACTTAAGTTTTAGGGTGGATCGATTTTAGTGGTGTGCAAAACTGCAATTTCTTACATATTTCATTATTTTTTTCGGAGCGCCGGTTCTCAAAAAACGAAACCGGGACCCGACGGCAACGGTCGGGTCCCGGTGTGATCGACCGTACCGACTCAAGCCTAATACTAACCCTCTGACATGCAAAAAATCCTGAACAAATTCTCAAACCACAAAGATATCTCTATGGTTTTCTTTGAAGGCGTCGATGTGAGGCACCCTCTAACAGTGATTAACAGTAAATTCTCCCAACCATTTTTGAATTTTCCCAACCGTTTTTCCGTGAGAAAAATACATAAAACAGGCTATAAAAATCTGTCAACACTTAACTGTCTG